CTGAGGACAGGAACGCACAGTTCCAAAGGGGATCATTAGTTTTATTAGACATCTGCCTTTAGTTTTTGGATGAACCGACTGCAGTGTTCAGTTATGTAGAAGAAGAAAAGGCAAAACAGGACGGGGAGAATTTGGTGGTGCTTCAGGGAGAAATCATAGAAAAGTTGTTTTAGTGTTTAAATGAGGTGTAAACATGATAAGGTTTCTACATCTCCTCAGATGTATGTGTTACAGTAAGGAAATCCGCTTCCTGCCCTGCATGGATTCTGCTGCCAATTCTCCCTGGAAAACCGAGCCCACCTGGCAGGGACAGACGGGAATCTTCCTGGACAGAGAAACTGGAATCGCCTGGATCAAGGTTGCTCGGACCTCTAAGCTGGCCAGCGCAGGTGCTGAACTGTAAGATCTGCTGTGTGGACTGAGAGAAGATGTGCTGAAGAGTAAGAAATGTCTATATCAAAGGCTTTGATCTGCTCCTCTTTCCCGACTGTGCGTCCTGTCTCATCCTATCGTCCCCGTCCTCTAATCACACCTTCCTTCCCCTCGTCTCTTCTCTTTCATTGAGAACAGAGGTAACTCAGGTGCTGTTGACTCCCTCATTACCATAATAAGCTTATTACCGTGATGAGTGTGTGTGTATGTGTGTGTGTGTGACAGACAGACAGACAGAGGGACAGACGGAGCTGGAGTGAAGCCAGAGCGGCATATGTTGTTCATCACGCCAATAATAATAACATCTCACTCACTGTTAATAGACCAGTCGGACACAAGGACACAAACATTCGCAAAACACGCTCGCATGAAACCTGTTCAGAATGCAACAATTCTCAATTACAGCAGACGATTACACCGGAGATGTCAAAACAGGAGGAGGTTCAGAATGCAGCAGCGAAAACTGAGCTGCCGCCAGCAGGGAGCAGGAGACGGAGAGGAGTATAGAAATATGCACCCATCAAGGAGTGGAGACTCGTCCTGATGAATCACAGACTTTGGCTTCATAAAAAAAAAAGACACCATAAATGTAAGGCAGCTGGAATAAACCTGGATCATCAATTTCAGACGTGTCGGTTTTTTCAGTTCTAAATGAAATTATCTTAAACAAAAGTCTTTTTAGAACCATCGCCCTCCTCAATATGTCTGCATCCTTAAACTTCATAAAAATAAACACTTATTCTCATATCAGCAATAAGATACAAACATATGTCTTCATTATAATTTATCTTAATTGCTAAACAAACCATTTTCTACACATGTATTGATGTACCTTTATATTTGTTGTCTGTCTCTTTGTATTTATTTTGATATGTTATGCAGAAAAACTACATTGATATAAATATCTAAACTTTAGTTTTCTGAGGCTTTTATTGTATGTTTTGGGGTTATAGCCTTCCTCTGGACCTTTTAAATTTATAAAATTGGCAAAAACAGCAAATCTATATCTTTTGAAAATATAATTCATAACAGATGACATCTAGACAAAATCAAATCTAAACATTTAATGAACAAAACTATAATGTAACAGCTGCCTTTAAGTCTCAGCAACAAAATCAGTGTTATCCTGACATGTTATGTGCTCCTAAAAGAAGCCTCTCAAACGTACTATACTCTGACAAAGTGTTGTGTCCCAGCTGTAGGGAGCGAAAAAGGCTGGTTTCTCTCATCTTGCAAAAAAAAAAAAAGAAAAACATACAAAAGCACAAACAAAAACCCACAAAAGCAGTTGTTGTCGGTGTCAGATCAGCGCAACAGGAAGCTTGACTTTAACCGACAGATTCTTCATGGAGCACGACGTCAATGACTGCAGTAACTGTTGGTCATATTATAACCACGTTATAGCTATTTAAGGACGTGCTAGAGAGAGTGAAGAGGATTATTACCAACAGGAAGAGGAGTAACTAAGGATCTGTATCAGCATCTATAATATAGCTGTGCTGCTCCTTTAGTGAAAGACTTCTACAGCGGCACTACAACTGCAATAACTTGTGCAATAACTAATATGCAAGCACTATTTAATACCCTGTGCAATAACTATATAAATAAATACCTATTTATATATACCTTTTTAATACCTGTGCATTAACCTGTACAATAATAAAAACTTCAGCTGTTCTCCAATCATTCAATAATCTAAATGTGTGGCATTGAGTCGTAGGCTTTCTTGTAATCAATCCAGGCAGTACTTAAGTTAGTGTTTCGGGTTCTACAGTCTTCATTGACTGTTCTATCTACCAGGAGTTGGTGTTTGGCACCTCTGGCATTTTTGCCAATTCCCTTCTGAGCTGTGCTCAGGTATTGATCCATGTACCCGCTTATCTTAGCCGCTATGATCCCAGACATGAGCTCCACGTTGTGGAGAGGCAGGTTATGGGTCGATAGTTGGATGGGACTACAGTATACCATTTGAGGGGTCCTTCTGAATCAGGATTGTTCGCCCTCGGTTAGCAATTAAGGGTAACCGAAGGGCGAAGGTACTCCACAAAGAGGGGGTCTCAATTCCAGAAGGAACAATAGCAGACAATGAAGTTAGCTACAAGTACCATAGAATCCCACAAGCAAATGGCAACCTCGAAGAGGTAACAAGGAAAGCGACTACGGCCAAATACCTCCAACGATTAAGGCAGGTCATAAGGAGCCAGTTCAATGGCAAGAATAAGTCTCGGGCAATAAATAGCTACACTCTACCAGTAATCAGATACCCTGCAGAAATAATAAGCTGGCCAAAGGAGGAGGTACAGGCCACAGATGTTAAGACACGAAAGCTCCTAACCAGTCATGGAGGATACCATCCCAAATCCAGTACCCTGAGACTGTATGCCAGCCATACAGGTGCTGGTCATAAAATTAGAATATCATGAAAAAGTAGATTGATTTCAGTAATTCCATTTAAAAAGTGAAACTTGTATATTATATTCATACATTACGTACAAACTCATATATTTCAGATGTTTATTTTGTTTAATTTTGATGATTACAAATGACAACAAATGAAAATCTCAAATTCATCATATCAGAAAATTAGAATATTACTGAAGACCAATAAAAACAAAGGATTTATAGAAATGTTGGTCAACTGAAAAGTATGAACATGAAAAGTATGAGCATGTACAGCACTCAGTATTTAGTTGGGCCTCCTTTGGCCTGTATTACTGCAGCAATGCGGCGTGGCATGGAGTCGATCAGTCTGTGGCACTGCTCAGGTGTTATGATAGCCCAGGTTGCTCTAATAGTGGCTTTTAGCTCTTCTGAATTGTTGGGTCTGGTGTATTGCATCTTCTTCTTCACAATACCCCATAGATTTTCTATGGGGTTAAGGTCAGGAGAGTTTGCTGGCCAATTAAGAACAGGGATACCATGGTCCTTCAACCAGGTACTGGTAGCTTTGGCACTGTGTGCAGGTGCCAAGTCCTGTTGGAAAATGAAATCTGCATCTCCAAAAAGTTGGTCAGCTGCAGGAAGCATGAAGTGCTCTAAAACTTCCTGGTATGTGGCTGCATTGACCCTGGACCTCAGAAAACACAATGGACCAACACCAGCAGATGACATGGCACCCCAAACCATCACTGACTGTGGAAACTTTACACTGGACTTCAAGCAACGTGGATGAAGTGCCTCTCTTCTTTTCCTCCAGACTCTGGGACCTTGATTTCCAAAGGAAATGCAAAATTTACTTTCATCAGAGAACATGACTTTGGACCACTCACCAGCAGTCCAGTCCTGTTTCTCTTTAGCCCAGGCAAGACGCTTCTGACGCTGTCTGTGGTTCAAGAGTGGCTTGACACAAGGAATGCGACAGCAGAAACCCATGTCTTTCATACGTCTGTGTGTGGTGGTTCTTGAAGCACTCACTCCAGCTGCAGTCCACTCTTTGTGAATCTCCCCCACATTTTTGAATGGGTTTTGTTTCACAATCCTCTCCAGGGTGCGGTTATCTCTCTTGCTTGTACACTTTTTTCGACCACATCTTTTCCTTCCCTTCGCCTCTCTATTAATGTGCTTGGACACTGAGCTCTGTGAACAGCCAGCCTCTTTAGCGATGACCTTTTGTGTCTTGCCCTCCTTGTGCAAGGTGTCGATGGTCGTCTTTTGGACAACTGTCAAGTCAGCAGTCTTCCCCATGATTGTGTAGCCTATAGAACTAGACTGAAAGACCATTTAAAGGCTTTTGCAGGTGGTTTGAGTTAATTAGCTGATTAGAGTGTGGCACCAGGGGCCATCAATTTTGAACCTTTTCACAATATTCTAATTTTCTGATATGATGAATTTGAGATTTTCATTTGTTGTCATTTGTAATCATCAAAATTAAACAAAATAAACATCTGAAATATATGAGTTTGTATGTAATGTATGAATATAATATACAAGTTTCACTTTTTAAATGGAATTACTGAAATCAATCTACTTTTTCATGATATTCTAATTTTATGACCAGCACCTGTAAGTAAGGAGGCAGAGGACTAATGGTGTAGGAGACACTATCCAGGATGAAACATCCAAGATCCCTAAGTACATCAAGGACAAGGCTACAACACACTACATCCTCACTGAATGTCTCAGACAATGGTGAACAGAAGATGAGGTGCCAGAGACTCTGTCATTGGAGGATAAGCCTCTACAAGGGATGTACCACCATAATATAAATGGAGTGGCAGATATCAGGAAATCCTACCAATGGCTAGACAAAGGCGGACTGAAGGACGGCACAGAGGCACTCATCATGGCTGAACAGGAGCAGGCCCTAATCACCAGAGCAATAGAGGCCCAAATCTACCACACCAGACAAGACCCCAGGTGCAGACTGTGCAAAGAGGCCCCTGAGACAATCTAGCACATGACTGCAGGGTGCAAAATGCTGGCAGGGAAAGTTTACATGAAGTGCCATAACCAAGTGGCTGGAATAGTGTACAGAAACTTCTCTGCAGAGTATGGGCTGAAAACCCCAAGGTCCAAGTGGGAAACTCCTCCAAAGATGGTAGAGAATGATCAAGCCAACATCCTGTGGG